GTTCCCGCCTCCCTTCACCTACACGGCTTATTGTGAGAATTTAAGGGAAGGAGTCTTTAACGCCTGCCTAAGTCACTTCACATTTCTGGGCATCTGTTTTTAAACGCATTGTCACTGCTTCCTAGGTTCTTTCTAAAAGCGGGGTGATTGCTGAATTATAGCAGTGTGACTGCTCCTACTGTAGTGGTGTGTGGGTGTGGGCACGTATATATACAGTATGATGCAGTAGAGTGGGTGTGTGCGTCGCCTCCTGGTGGAAAGGAATACCTGTCGTCATCGCCCTGGTCGCGTGATCCCTGATGTCCGCAGACGGTGATGGTGGCCAGGACTGAAGTGCCTCTCATGCAGTGCCACTGTATTGTAACCTGGATTTTCTACACCCCCCAAATTAAGCTGAGAATAAAATGGAGGGTGACTGGGTTTGGTGAATAGAAACGTGTAGACCTGGAGGTCAAATGCAGCAAAACAAATCCTGGATGAAATGCTTTTTTGTGAACTCGTCAGGTTCTCATAAAGTGGCTTTCTTTTTTCTCTAGGGGGTTTGCCTGCTGGGAACTGAGCACCTCTGAAGTCTCAGGTGAGTCGACACATTGGTGCTGGGAGATAACATTCTTGCAAATTCAGTGCCTTCTGTGTTACACCCTAAGCGCCAGGGCCAGGTGGTCCACAACAACTTGGTCGGGATAATCAAAGCTTGGATTACCTAACTTTCCATACATGCTGCCCCTAGAGGCGTTGCATATGTGGCTGCGGTGTCACGTGTGTGTCATCAGGTGGCAGAGAGAAGAGAGGCTTGTCTACGCCCAGTGTTCTGGCCCGTGAACGTCTGGATGATTGATAGTCTGACACTTGACTGCGTGCGAACTGTTGGTGTGTGTTTACAGGCAGCCTGAGGCCTGTCAGGTAAAAGCTCTAATTCTTTCCTAGTTCTTGGCTAGCCTCAGATAATGAGGTTGTCCCAGCAGGTGGGCTGCCCCCACAGTGATGAGCGAGGGAAACGTGAGTGTGTTTCAGTTAGGCTGACTTGCTGAAGGTCCGAGTGTTATTTACCTGTCACGTTGGATTTAAAAAGAAAGATGGCACTAAGATTTCCCTTTCGAGGGTGAGCTGAATGGTGTAAACTGATTTAAACTGGGCTGTGCAGCCAGAAGCTTCAAGTTGCCAGTTTCACATGTTACAGAGACAGTTCCAGAGGCTAGCAATGCTGGCGTTCTCTGGCACATGAGGCTTTTTTGTTTTTCTTTTAATTCCAAAGAGTTGTTTCTGTGTCACCTTCTCTTGTTGAGTGGTCTTCTCTGATTAGATTGGTCAGTACCTCGTTAATAGCTTTCTGGGAGGGGCACAGATTTCTGAGGTGTCCCCCCCGGCTGCACTGTGATTCCCCAAGTTCAGCCAACACCAGCCAGGTGCCAGAGTAGGCAGCCCAAGTCGTCTTTTTCTAATGTTTGGCTGGGGATAATTAGGTGGGTTTTTTTAACAGAGGTACTGGGGATGGAACCCAGGAACTTGTGCATGCTACGCACAAACTCTTACGGAGCTACACCCGCCCCCCACGCCAGAAGTCTTTTTTAATCTTCTCTTCGTGCTGCCCAGCAGGGGTCTGAAAGGTGACCGTGGAAGAGGTGAAAGATCCTTTGGAGCATCGTGCACTGGATTTGAATACCAGCAGTGATGGAGCCAAGCGGTTCTCTTACTAATACGAGAACAGTGACAGCTTGTGACCATTGGCCAGAATGACCAGCCATCACGATCCAGAGCCAGGTAAGAGGCCGTGCTTTTCTGAGCATCTCCTTGGGCCTTGCTGGGTGGGAGGGAGGGGACAGCTGCCCCATGGATGGCGGACCTGCCGGCACCACGGATGCAGCTGCCCCGCTGCACCCGTGACATCGGGGCACAGAGGAAGCGGCTATTTCTACGCTCAGTGCTCAGAACAGTGGGCACTAAGAATGGTTTGTAGCCGGACAGTACGATTTTCTTCTTCCATAGAGTAAGGCTCGTAGTGAGGATTAAATGAGATGCATGAGCACGTGGCAAGCTTCGGGCACAGTGGGATTGACTGAGGGTCTCCTTCGGCCATTCAGTAGGTCTGTCTAGGGAAGACTTTGTAGAAGAAAGCGTTGGGCAGGTGTGACCTGCTTCCCTGCCTGAGAGCTGCTGAACTGGTATCAGTGGCCTGTGTCCTGTCCAGACCCATTACTCCCTGTGCGGGGTCTGGAGCCACCTGGTCCATGAGCACTTGTGCTGTGAGGACCCTTGACAAGGAGCAGGAGACGGTTTGGTCATTCTGGAAAGAGCGCCAAGGGTCGCTCCTGGTATTGGCCTTGTGGGTGAGGCAGAGGTTAGGGCCCTGTGTGGAGCCTGTCCATGGGCCAACCATAACCCTAAAAATGATTATCCAGACCAGGGCCCTGGAGGGCAGAGGGGGCTGTGGCCCCCTGTCAGGTGGAGGGCTCAGTTTGCTGTTGAGGGTCGAACAAAAGCTGTAGGTGACTGGCTCTCAACCAGCGTGTCCCTCCCAGGGCATGTGGCAGTGGGGAGGGGTCCGCATGCTGGTGGGGCTGAGGTTGAGAAACCTGCTGTAGAAAAACATGGTTTGGGGGGATTCACTGATGAGATTCCATGTCTCAGATCCGTGGGCCCAGCTCGGTTCTGTGCAGCTGGTCAGTGGAATAGACCTGCAGGTGTGGGCTCTTGTCACTCCAGGACTCGCTTCAGGACAGGTATGTTGGGGGGTTTCTCACAGACCTGAACCCTCATTGTGGACACTGGCTTGCCAGAATCTGGTCAGGGGTAGTATATGAAGTTGTCCTAATTTCAGAGGAGGGCAGGGGGTCATGGGTGATTAGGCACTTGAGTGGCCACCGGGAAAATGAAGATGAGCCCTGACTGGGAAAGGCATTGCCTGGGCAGAGGCTGGTGGGCTGCCAAAGGTCTGCCCTGCACCCCAGAGGTGTTCTCAGGAGATGCTTGTCCTCAGCATCCTCCAGGAGCAGTCCTCGGGCCCAGCAGAATGAGGGGTGGAGGGTGGGAGTAAACTGAGGGCTTCATGAAGCTCCTTCGTTGCTGAGCTCTTGGAGGGGGGCAGCATGCAGGTCACCCTTTCATACAAGCACGTGGCATCTGTGTCCAGGCCTTGTGCGCTTTGCAGAGAGGTGAGAACTGGGGTTTTGGTGGTTTCAGGTATCCAGCAGAGCTGCCCTCGGCAGAACTGTTGGTGGCGTGCTCTGGGCGGTGCGGCAGTAGAGTGTCTGCTGACCTCTCTGCTGGGCTCATCCTAGATGGTAGAGCCTTGCTGATTCCCCCACAGAAACTGGGTGGTGAGTGGGGTGTTGAGAAAGAAGGGAGCTGGGCTTGGCATGTCTTGTAGGGGAAGGCGTAGGGGGCCTGAGCAGCTGTTTCTGCTGTCCTGAGGTCTCCAACCCAAGGTGAGGAGGCTGGACCGGGTGACAGAGTTGTGGCCCCATCTGTCCAGCACCAGGAGGCACTGCTAGGGGGTCGTTCTGGTTTACTGTCTGCAGATGGGGTCCTGCTGGATAGATGAGCCCGGGGCACTGTGGGCCTCAGCACGCAAGGGCGGCGGAGAGCTGGAAGTCATGGCCTTGGGAAGTGTCCTCCGATGAAAAGAACCTGCAGGCTTACAGAGCGGTGGCGTGTTGGCGTGCTGAACAGCAGCTGTGTGCTTCCCCGTCCTGGGTCGGCAGGGCTGAGGCAGCAAGTGCGTGAGAGCCTGAGCAGAGAGCCCCGGGGACCCAGGAGCTCCAGGGGGGCCAGCGAGCGCGGCACAGTGGAAACGGGAGCTGGACCCAGTGGTGGCCTCAAGGCCCTGGGGGCAGTGGTGATGGCTCAGCAGGCCCCTCATCTCTGATCCTGATTCTTAAATCCTCTGGCCTCGGGTGTTCAGGGAGTGAGTGGAGCCCATGGTTCTGAACTGGCCTTCACCAACCTGGCCTTCACCATGTGGATCATCTTCCCCACACAAGGAGGGGAATTTAGGTGAAAAGCAAGTTGACCCATTTGGGATGAGGTTTAAGGAGCCCAGTGCTGAGAATGTGGGTGTTTAGTTGAAATCTTGGGACAATGTCTTTTATGCAAAAGATACTAAAGTGAATGGAAGGGTTTGTATAATGCATTTTTTTTCCAAGGAGGGTGTGTCTGTTGGCAAATCTAGAGAATAAATTGGTCTTGAATAAACTGTCCTGACAGGTTTTCCTTAGTGGCTCAGCTGAGGGTGTCGGGCTCCTGGGCTCACAGCTTCCCGTCGTGGGGCGGGAGCGTGGCCCTCAGCAGGCGTTACACCAGGCAGCTCGCTGAGGTGAAGAAGGAATTCCTACAGTGGGCTGCACTGTTTTTGAGCAGCAAGCATTGTAAGAAAAAGTTTTTAATCTTGAAGTTCTTAGAAATAATTGTGTAAGTCACATTTCCACGAACCCCGCCATGATCCAGGTTGGGGCAGTGAGACCAAAAGCTCAGCGTCTCACCCACCGCCTCCCCCTTTGTCTAGTCGTAACCCCACGACGAGCTGCAGGGAGGAGAGGGGTCACCCCCACCCCGGGCCTCCAGCCACTTGGGGGCAGGGGTCCAGAGTGGGCCAAGGGGACTGTACTCACAGAAAAGCTATTTACATCACATGTTCCTCAAAGTAACAAAACCCGGTTTGTCCTTGGCAGGTCCCTCGACCAGCGGATCCTTCCCTCCTATTCCAGCCGCTTCCGTCTGGGTGGTCAGGATGCCAGGACCCCAGAAAGTCCTGGAGGGGGTTGCAGCGCTGTCCTCTGCCCTGGGAGGAGGGGGGGGGGGCCGGCAGGTCAGGTGTACTTGGTGTTGGAGATCTTTTTCCAGAGCAGGGTCTTGAGGTGGCTCAGCACCAGCGAGTGGTGCGCCTCCACCTGACTGGCCAACCCGCTCAGCGTGGTGCATGTGCGCAGCTGCTCGCCCAGCTCCTCACGCAGGTCTGCGGGGGCGCCGGGCAGCAGGTAGTCCCGCAGCAGCTCGCACACCTTGGCCAGGTTGGGCTGCACCAGGTCACCCTTGCACTGCCTCATGAGCGTGTCACAGGGCGCCCGGCAGTCCCGGCCGTAGGTGCAGTCCGCGCTGTGCTCACAGTGGCGGCCCCGCAGGAAGCGGCGCACGGCGGCCTCGGGCGCCACCTGCTGCAGGTCTGCCATCTTGAAGTC